GTTGTGCATGGTTGTGCTCTGGTTCGTACATGGTTGTGCTCCAGTGGTTGTTTGTGTACTAGTGCTCCAGGTTTGTTTGCTAGGGCTTTATGTTTGTTTGCTAGAAATTTGGGTTTCTTTTTTTGTATATAGTTCAATTGTTTGCTATGGCTCCATAGTTGGTTTCTATGGCAAGTGGAGGGTTTTAGGTAGCGCTAAGAAGATTTTTGTTTGGTCGAGCTAGGAATGGAGTTTGGTTGTGCTTTGGGACTGTTTAGCGTAATGGTAGGGGTTGGATGAGATGTATACTTGCTAGGCTTACGTTTGCACAACTGGTCGAGTTTCGGTTACACAACTGGTTGGGCTCCGGTTACAAAACTGGTCGAGCTTTCGGGGTGGGGGGGGGGGTATCTCTTGGGCTTCTGGTTGTGCATAGTCGGGCTTTGGTTCGTGTATGTTTGTGCTTCGGATGTTGTTTGTTCGATTCATTCGTGCTAGGTTTGCGGTTACACAACTGGTCGGGGTCTGGTTACACAACTGGTCGGGGTCTGGTTACACAACTGGTCGGGGTTTGGTTACACAACTGGTCGGAGTCTGGTTACACAACTGGTCGGGGTCTGGTTACACAACTGGTCCGGGTCTGGTTACACAACTGGTCGGGGTCTGGTTACACAACTGGTCGGGGTCAGGTTACACAACTCTCAGGGCTCGGATACACAACTGGTTGGGCTCCGGTTACACAACTGGTTGGGCTCCGGTTACACAACTGGTCGGGCTCCGGTTACACAACTGGTCGGGCTCCGGGGGTGTCACTTAAGGCTTCTGGTTGTGCGTTACCCTCTTTGTGTAATGAAATTTTAAAATAAAGTTAGATATTTATACACACATACTAAAAGAATAGGGGTGGTAGGAGAAGAAAATATCAAAGTGAGGGTCCACAAGGTCTTCTCTGGGTACTCTTTATTTTCTTCTCCGAGGCTATGGGGCCCTACACTTGCACCAGAGGTGGTACCCCTTTTAGGTTAAAAAAAATTATATATATATATATATATATATATATATATATATATATATATATATATATATATATATATATATATATATATATATATATATATATACGTCAATTTAATATATATATATATATATATATATATATATATATATATATATATATATATATATATATATATATATATATATATATATATATATATATATATATATATATGTCGTACCTAGTAGCCAGAACGCACTTCTCAGCCTACTATGCAAGGCCCGATTTGCCTAATAAGCCAAGTTTTCATGAATTAATTGTTTTTCGACTACCTAACCTACCTAACCTAACCTAACTTTTTCGGCTACCTAACCTAACCTAACCTATAGAGATAGGTTAGGTTAGGTTAGGTGGGGTTGGTTAGGTTCGGTTATATATCTACGTTAATTTTAACTCCAATAAAATAAAATTGACCTCATACATAATGAAATGGGTAGCTTTATCATTTCATAAGAAAAAAATTTGAGAAAATATATTAATTCATGAAAACTTGGCTTATTAGGCAAATCGGGCCTTGCATAGTAGGCTGAGAAGTGCGTTCTGGCTACTAGGTACGACATATATATATATATATATATATATATATATATATATATATATATATATATATATATATATATATATATATATATATATATATATGTCGTACCTAGTAGCCAGAACTCACTTCTCAGCCTACTATGCAAGGCCCGATTTGCCTAATAAGCCAAGTTTTCATGAATTAATGTTTTTTCGTCTATCTAACCTACCTAACCTAACCTAACCTAGCTTTTTTTGGCTACCCAGCCTAACCTTACCTATATATATAGGTTAGGTTAGGTTAGGTAGGGTTGGTTAGGTTCGGTCATATATCTACGTTAATTTTAACTTCAATAAAAAAAAATTGACCTCATACATATTGAAAAGGGTAGCTTTATCATTTCATAAGAAAAAAATTATAGTAAATATATTAATTCAGGAAAACTTGGCTTATTAGGCAAATCGGGCCTTGAATAGTAGGCTGAGAAGTGAGTTCTGGCTACTAGGTACGACATATATATATATATATATATATATATATATATATATATATATATATATATATATATATATATATATATATATATATATATATATATATGTCGTACCTAGTAGCCAGAACTCACTTCTGAGCCTACTATGCAAGGCCCGATTTGCCTAATAAGCCAAGTTTTCATGAATTAATGTTTTTTCGTCTACCTAACCTACCTAACCTAACCTAACCTAGCTTTTTTTGGCTACCTAACCTAACCTTACCTATATATATAGGTTAGGTTAGGTTAGGTAGGGTTGGTTAGGTTCAGTCATATATCTACGTTAATTTTAACTCCAATAAAAAAAAATTGACCTCATACATAGTGAAAAGGGTAGCTTTATCATTTCATAAGAAAAAAAATATAGTAAATATATTAATTCAGGAAAACTTGGCTTATTAGGCAAATCGGGCCTTGAATAGTAGGCTGAGAAGTGAGTTCTGGCTACTAGGTACGACATATATATATATATATATATATATATATATATATATATATATGTCGTACCTAATAGCCAGAACGCACTTCTCAGCCTACTATTCAAGGCCCGATTTGCCTAATAAGCCAAGTTTTCATGAATTAATGTTTTTTCGTCTACCTAACCTACCTAACCTAACCTAACCTAGCTTTTTTTGGCTACCTAACCTAACCTTACCTATAAATATAGGTTAGGTTAGGTTAGGTAGGGTTGGTTAGGTTCGGTCATATATCTACGTTAATTTTAACTCCAATAAAAAAAATTGACCTCATACATAGAGAAAAGGGTTGCTTTATCATTTCATAAGAAAAAATTATAGTAAATATATTAATTCAGGAAAACTTGGCTTATTAGGCAAATCGGGCCTTGAATAGTAGGCTGAGAAGTGAGTTCTGGCTACTAGGTACGACATATATATATATATATATATATATGTCGTACCTAGTAGCCAGAACTCACTTTTCAGCCTACAATGCAAGGCCCAATTTGCCTAATAAGCCAAGTTTTCATGAATTAATATATTTTCTCTAATTTTTTTCTTATGCAATGATAAAGCAACCTATTTCATTATGTAAGAGGTCAATTTTTTTTATTGGAGTTAAAATTAACGTAGATATATGACCGAACCTAACCAACCCTACCTAACCTAACCTAACCTATCTTTATAGGTTAGGTTAGGTTAGGTAGCTGAAAAAGTTAGGTTAGGTTAGGTTAGGTAGGTTAGGTAGTCGAAAAGCAATTAATTCATGAAAACTTGGCTTATTAGGCAAATCGGGCCATGCATAGTAGGCTCAGAAGTGAGTTCTGGCTACTAGGTACGACATATATATATATATGTCGTACCTAGTAGCCAGAACTCACTTCTCAGCCTACTATGCAAGGCCCGATTTGCCTAATAAGCCAAGTTTTCATTAATTAATTGTTTTTCGACTACCTAACCTAACTTTTTCTGCTACCTAACCTAACCTAACTTACAAAGATAGGTTAGGTTAGGTTAGGTAGGGTTGGTTAGGTTTGGTCATATATCTACGTTAATTTTAACTCCAATAAAAAAAAATTGACCTCATACATAATGAAATGGGTAGCTTTATCATTTCATAAGAAAAAAATTTGAGAAAATATATTAATTCAGGAAAACTTGTCTTATTAGGCAAATCAGTCCTTGCATAGTAGGCTGAGAAGTGCGTTCTGGCTACTAGGTACGACATATATATATATATATATATATATATATATATATATATATATATATATATATATATATATATATATATATATATATATATATATATATAAACAAAAAGTTGGGCTACTCTTATTACAATTTCGCTACTTTTAGACCTTCAGCTCGCTACTTTCAGTAATTTGGAGCTGGCAACCCTGTGACAGAAGAGCAGTCACTGACATTCAAAGACCAGAAAGCACGAGTATAAAGAGCTATGATATGTTAAGAACAAAGTCTTTTATGTACGGGAAGCATAAAACATCCACTAGACAATGTGACATTGTAAATGCCGGAATTGCTGGGATATCGATATCTATGGCAGGTGGCTGCAGGTAATGAATCTCCTAATGGTGAACATTCCAATTGTTGAAATTCCAATTGAACATTCCAATTGTTAACTATGGGAACAAGAGGAAGGATATATTAGGATGATAGGATATCAGGATGATGATTGTAGGATGATATATAGTGATATATATTATATACTGATGATATATATCACTATATATATCATCACTATATCTGTAATTTCATACTAAATGGTATGAGGTACTTTGAGCTCTGTAACTACTTCATACATTCACGAATATTGGAAGATATTCTTGTGCTCTAGCCAGAGTTTGCTAGTGCAGACTGATAAATCAGCCTTGCACTTCATGTTCTCTCCTGATTCCATGGATAACTAATCATCCTGTGAGATGGGAATGTTAGATGAACTTATTGCTAGTTATTTTTATCTACATTCTGTATTCTTTCATATTGAATAGCGAAGCAGCACATTGCTGTGTATCCTAAACTTGTTAAGGAAAAAACTAAATCTCTTAAACTTTTTCATTTATTTATGCTAACTTGACTGCTTATTTTAATTATTTATTACAGTAATTATTATTTAGAATTTGTTAGAATAATTGTTATGATATCAAATTTAATGAGCTCAAACGTTATGAGGAAAATTAAAGCTGCATTGGCAGCTAGTAAGACTGTTCTCCGAGATGCGTTTGTTTCCGCTCCGGCAACTGGTCGTTGGCGGCGTTAACTGACTTGATACCAACACAAAAGGAATATCCGCCTTAAAGGACACTTGAGTACAGTACGTTGTTTTGTACTTTTGTTTTGTGTGAGTGACCAAGTAGCTGTTGTGACGCGACGCTTTGGTTTGAGAGTTTGTTAATATAGGTAATTTAGCATGTGAGTGGAGTAGAGTAATGCGCCAGTGGTGGTATTAGGGTCAAGGGCAGGCGAGTGACAGGTGTGGGGTAAGGCCGTGGAGTCTCCTGTGGCCTCCATACCCTTCAGGTGTGTCCTGCTGCCCTCCAGGTGTGTCCTGCTGCCCTCTACACAGCTCACGTCAAGAGTAGGTTACACATATCACTGAGTTTGGGTTTAAATAGGACCTGTCTTATGTGGACCAATAATTATACCTTTTGAACGTCCCCTAGACGAGTATGGTCAGATCCAAATACAGCCATTTCGATAAAAGTTCGGTTCTTGTGATTAAAATGGCGTATTGTTAGGATATATATTAGGTTGGTTTGGGTTAGGCAAGGGTAGAGAGGTCTTAAAATTCATCGGTAAACTATCGTCTGTACAATGGGGTTTGCATCTGTTCCTGTGATGTGTTGTCATGGGATCTTCTGGGACGTGCTGGTCATTGTGGGATAAAAACCTTTACAAGACTGAACGTTTTTTACCTATTGTTGGGAAGAGCACGATTCTAATTTTATTTTGAAATCCATAAGTGTGAAATTACCAACAGTGGAAGTAAAAGTAAAATATACAGTACAGTAAAAATATAAAATAATATAGGTGTTAATGGTGACCACATTGATATTTAAAATTGTAATTAATCCAGAGACTGCTATAAAAAAATTTCCTTCACAGTAAATGTACTGCTGTGAATATTTGCCTTGTGTACAATTTCTTTGTGCCATTAGACGTGTTGATTATGCAACCAGGCGGAAATGACACGGCACCGTAATAGTCATATTGTGATAGGGAAGACACTTAGAAAAATTAGTAGAATTAATCTAGAATGACTGTAGTCATTTGTACTAGTAGAATGACTGTAGTCAGTCCACCAAGAAGTCCTCGTGGTGCAGTGGCAAAATACTTGCCCGGCGAGTGCTTTAGCCTGGGTTCGTATCCTGGCTGGGGAGGAATTACTGGATGCCAATCTTTAGCTGTATCCTCAGTTCACCCAGCAGTGAATGGGTACCTGGCTGTTAAACGATTTGGCGGGTCGTATTCCAGGAAAAATTAGGATTAAGGACTTGCCTGAAATGCTAAGAGTGCTAGTGGCTTTACAAGAATGTAAGAACTCTTGTGTATATACAGTATATAAATAAAAAATATATATATAATATATATATTATGTAATATATTCCTGTCTTGACTGTCCTGTCATGACTTATATTTTAGATTTTAATCAAAGGTGAGTAGGATATTGCATTGGTGAGGAACCAAATGTACCACTTAGAAAAGTGCTTTTTGTGTAATTCTCGGAGCTAAAAAAAAAAAATCCCTAGATTTGATAGTCCCAGGCAGTGTCTATTGATTTGCTTCAAGTTTTAGGTAACTCCTGGCTACAGCCTTTCAACACACAAAAAACGGTTGTTCCACACCAAAACGTAACTTGCAGTGTACCTCGCCCAAACTGTTGTAAAAGCAAAACCAACATCATGAATTTTGGATTTGTTAAAAACATTTTTAGAGTGAGGGCTGGTTAAATAAAGTGCTTGAAATTGAACCTTAATGTTGGAAAAGTTAAAATTGCTGTACAGTACTTATAAGAAATATTGTCTGTCACAGTGTAATGTAGGGGGACAGAAAAGATGCATTTTCACTCATAGGATTATATACCCATGGTACTGCCTACCTACCAAAGTTATAAATTATAATTAATTTTGTCAGGGGACAGGCAGACTGTGTGTGTATATTCATTGGGCTTGTATTGAGGTCCCCCAAAAGGTCAACTTGCTGATCCTTCCCAGGATGCAACTCTTACAACAATTGATTAACTACCGGACTCCTATTTCCTGCAAGGTAAACAGAATAATTTGGTGATGGGAAATATGGCCAACCATTTCTGTCCCGCTTGGGATTCAAACACAGGATGCCCAATTGTTAATAAAGAATAAACCCAACTACTACAAAGTCGTCAAATGTCTAATCATTATCGCAATTCAAAATCCAGCTGGAAACAAATTCGGAACACTGGGTTGAGGGGTGGGAGTGATCTTTGACAAGCCACTGGCTTCGTGACCCTGTCAAGCTACTAAGAAGATGGTCCTAGGATAAATTCAGGTTAGTTCAAAATTTTATTGAATGACCTTGCTTTAAGTTTGTAAACTTAATGTAGCTATTCCATTTTTATTCCACGGAAGATGGAGGCATATTGCATAGGAAATTGAAATGCTGGTAAGTTGACACTAAGGAAAAAACATCCAGATTGCGAGATGGCCAAGTTTTCTGATAGGGTTTGGTTGTCTGCATTGATATTGATGATTTGCTGAACCTACCTTGGTTTATGGGAATAATATTAATAATTATTAATAAAAACATAGAATTAAGTGACAGTGGTTACTTAGTAAGTACAGTACTGTACGTACAATATTTTTATACAGTATTTTATAAAGCCATTAATTATGTAAATTAAGGGAGCCGGTCGGCCAAGCGGACAGCACGCTGGACTTGTGATCCTGTGGTCCTGGGTTCGATCCCAGGCGCCGGCGAGAAACGATGGGCAGAGTTTCTTTCACCCTATGCCCCTGTTACCTAGCAGTAAAATAGGTACCTGGGTGTTAGTCAGCTGTCACGGGCTGCTTCCTGGGGGTGGAGGTCTGGTCGAAGACCGGGCCACGTGGACACTAAAGCCCCGAAATCATCTCAAGATAACCTCAAGATAACTCAAGATAACCTATGTTCAGCATTTTGAGCAGAAATACAGGAAGGAAACAACGTGATTGATTTAAATAATTTTAGGTTAGAAATACAAGTGTTGGAGATATGTATATAAAATTGGTGAAATAAATGTTGAAAAGATTAGCATTAATGTAAATTAGTACCCTGTAGAACTAATTAGTTACCAGTGAGTAAAAATTTTTTTACAGTAAGTGTATTTTGTAACTGAGACAATATCTGTAATGATAATGCATAACTAAATGTATTTTTGTTTTTAATGTCATACAATTTGGTATTAAATATATTGTTATATTTTAGATTTAGACGAATTTGATCGTCACCACTGAGGCATCTTGAGCTGAAAGGTAAAGGAACTGAACATGCTGTCTGGAGGCCACGGAGAAGTGAACCCCAACTCGTCTTGGCACAGTAGTCGAGGCGCATGGATCTCTTACTTAGCGGGTGTCCTCACACTACACCTTTTCCTTCTCTCCATACCACTGATTTCAATACCAACAGCCTGGACACTCACTAATGTTATACACAACCTGGTGAGTCTTGGGTATTGTTTTTATCAGTAAGCCGAGGTACACCATTATACTTGTACCATTTTCTCCTGATTATTTCTTGCTAGAATTTTTATAAAAATCTATATTTCATGCATATACGTAATACTGTAATATAAAAATAATTCATTGTCAAGGGAACAGGAAGCGCAAGTGTGTTCATACGTGTTAATCTTTTATCGAGATCCCCCCCGCCCGAATTACGTACCCCGCCCATGATGTAACCCTACAACAAGCTGACTAGCAACTTAATGCTAGATGAACAGAGGCATTAGGTAAAAGGAAATATGCCCAACCATTTCAATCCCACCTGGGATTCTAACCTGGAATTTTCAATTTTGCATCGAGAACGAACCTGACTGTACTACCAGGACCCTTAACATCAACAACTTCCCACTTTGCTCATGATTTGGGACTATAGTATATAATTAAGGATGTCATTGTTGATTCTGTAGGACCTCTGTTGCATTTACCTGAATTTACCCGAGAGCCACTGAAACTGGTGGCCTTGACGAGGACAAGAAGCTGGAGGCTTGTTGAAGGATCCCCCATTTCCCTTGATTTTCTTCAGTTGTACTTTAAAAGTGAATAGTTTTTGCAGTTCTAGCTTCGGCGAGTAGACGGTTCCATAGGTTTATAGCCCTGTGGGAGAAAAAGCATCTGTTCTCAGTCCTACATTGTGGCTTGTTGAGCTTGAAACCATTGATCCTTGTTTGTGTTACATCTGACCTTTTGAAGAAATTTTCCTGATCAACATCCTCCAAATTGTTTAGTATTTTAAGTTTCAGGGTATACTTCACCCCTTGTGAAGGCAAGGGGTGAGTATAAACTAATGTATGGTTATTGACATTAAAAGCTATTGTTTTAGAGGCCAAATATTTAGCCTTTAATTGAATGCATTTCTTTCTATAGATTATGATCATGCTGTAACTTTATATTAAAAAGTGTAATATTTATTTACATATAAATAATTATGTGCACACAACCATTTGAAGCTTGAATACTCTTTGATAAGGAATATAGGGGAGACAGAGCATCACAGTTGTAGCTATACCTGTAATTCCGTAACTACACTAGGGTAATTTGTCATGGGGCTGTGATACTTGTGGTGGTGTACTCAATGTAAACCTACCCTATCTTGGACTACCTGGAGAGGGCCATGCTCAAAAATATTATGCTCCAGGGCTGCCATGTTCATTTTAAACATACAATCTACCAAACCCTTCTGGTGGGGTGGGCTTGGTGAATGTAATGATTGTTTCATTACATCCAATGCTGGGTTTATTTACTACTGTATTGTATTTTTTTTTTTTTAGCTTTGATTTCCACAGAGCTTGGAAAGGATGTGGGAGGAAGAAGGATGGGGGATGAAATTCTTGGAAGAGGATTTGGATGTGGAGAGAGGAGGCTTGAAAGTTCGGTGGCCTGTCCACCGTGGATTGGAGATGTTTTTTGAGTCAAAGCCTGTAGCTTGGGTTCTTCTTGGGTGGCAGGAGGCTAGTGGTGGGGCAGAGTGATGTCGTCCTGGTTCACTTGAGGTGGTCTGTCTGGCTTGGAGGATGCGTCTTCCTTATTAAGGTGGTGAGTGGTAAGTTCACTGTTGCTTGGTGGTGTCTTGGCCACGAGGTATTCGCATGTACTTCCCAAATGACAGCGGTGGTATTGGTGTTCCTGTCGGGTCTTCATCTTCTTCCAGGAAGGTCACTTGTCCCATCTTGAAATCGAATTTTGGGTCGATGTATTCTCTCTCCAGAGCGCTGAGGTCTACATATAGTTCCACGATCTCGTGGTGGACAAACACAGGGTGAGGAAAGGAGGTCTTGAGCTGGTTGATGATCCTGTTGTATTCTAAGGCAATGACTATTCTTGTGCTTCGATTGCCGTTGAAATTGCCACCGTGATTGAGGTAAAGTCCATAGTAGGGCTTTTTCTTGCTTGATTTGCTTGGGTTTGGGTCGAAGTCTGAGGCCACATATGTGACGGCCTCATCCGTGTCAGATGGAAGGAATAGTGTTTCTTGGGACTCTGGTGCTGGTTCTGGTTCTGAATCTTTTTTTTTTTTTTTTTTTTTTTGAGATATATACAAGAGTTGTTACATTCTTGTACAGCCACTAGTACGCGTAGCGTTTCGGGCAGGTCCCTGGAATACGATCTCCTGCCGCGAAGAATCGTTTTTTCATCCAAGTACACATTTTACTGTTGCGTTAAACAGAGGCTACAGTTAAGGAATTGCGCCCAGTAAATCCTCCCCGGCCAGGATACGAACCCATGACATAGCGCTCGCGGAACGCCAGGCGAATCTGGTTCTGACTCTGATTCCACTTGCTGATGTTTTGCTTTCCTTTTCGACCGTCGCCCCCGGCCGGTGGGGGCAGGTGTTGAGGTTGATTGGTCTGCTGTGGAGGTGGTCTGGGTGGATGCTGTTGCCTGGGTGACTGGTGCTGGGTTCGACTCCGGTGGAGGTGGTAGCGGTATGACTGCAGTTACTGGTGGTGTTGGAATCTGGTCTGTTTGGGTTGAAGCAGCGTTGTGATGTTGAAATAGGTCTGCTGGTATCAACATTGTGGGCAGGTTGTTCTGGGCGAGCAGCCTGTTCAGTACTCTCACGTATTTGGCGTTGTCTGTTCCTGCCTCTCTCTCAGCTACACTGATCAGGCATGGGATGAGAGTGGTGTTGGTTGAGGCCGCTGATTGGTTGACAGTCAAGTTGGTTGGCTGAGCTGCAGTCGCCTGTGTCCCCATTGGGGGGTCTGTATTGTATTGTATTTTGTTACTATCATCTGCCAACTTCTCAACAGCATTGTAAATCGTGTTAACTGCCTATGCTACACTGGTTGTTTTATTCTTTTTCTTTTCTTTTTTTCCAGGCAAATTACCTGTTCCTTCACCAGATTAAGGGTACTCCATGGCAGTTATTAGATCAGGGAAAATCTCGGCTGATGACGGCATGGGAACAGATTGACTATGGACAGCAGTATACAACAACTCGCAAATTTATCACCATCATTCCCATTGTCTTGTAAGTGAAATATAAGAAATAGTTCTTTAGTGCTGAATGCCCATAGCATTTTTTAATCATGAAATATACTGTAGCATTAACCTTTAAATGGCGCATGGCTATATACCATTTGACACCCACAGGCGCATACAAAAAAAAAAAAAAAAAAAAAAAAAAAAAAATTCTTCCTAACCTGTTAATTTGTGTTCACTGATCATGGGAAAAATAATAAAAAAATCGTAAGTGGCATATATTGCCCGCTGTAGGGCAGGGAAGTCTGGCAAAAAACAGGCGCTGACTCAGCGTGTGTCCCAGGCGGTCTGTTGATCGCCAGCTGTCAATGCCGGAGTTGCCACAAAGAGATAATTACCTAATTATTTCAATATCTCTGATTGATTTTTCATAGTTTTTTTTTGCTGTAATATTATTCAATAGTGTGTAGTGTGATATATTTATATAATAAAATGAGTGAATCATCGCTGTACTCAAAAATATGGTGTGCATATTGTTGATTCAATTATGTTCATCAAATGGTGAACAAATACTTTGTCGGTTATTACACTATATACACAGGTTATATATAAGTATCTGCACGTTTTGTTCACCATAACGAACCACTAAGTTGCTATTATGAGTCAAAAAGTAACGAGGAGTGACCGCCGTGTACCAGCCAGCCACTCATGCCCTCCCTCAAGTCACCTGACTCGCCCACATTCTCCTCCCACAATACTGTTTTTGCTTTTATTCACTATATACAGACGCTATATACAAGTATCTACATTCGTGTTCACCATTGTAACGGGGGGTGGGGGGAAATGGCTCTATCTTGTCCATTATTCCACCCCCAGTTAACTAACGAGGCCGGGGGAAACAGCTCTCTCTAGTCCGTTATCCCGTCCCCAGTTAGCTACCTATTCTAGAGCCCCTCCAGAGTTCCTCTCTCGTTCAACACCTTGTAACCTAGGTATTTGACTACCTAGGTGCTAAGACTACAAGGCGCCGTAACTGGATCAGCTACCCGAAACTCTAGAGAGAACTCTAGAGTATATAATCATTGCCACAAACGTATACGAGAAAACGAAAGGAAAGAAATGAATAGTGAAGTAATTAGTGAGGGTTTGGGGTGAGAGGGGTAGAGAGGTGGGAGGGGCGAGGAGGGTCATTAGTTGAAAGTGAGAGTTTAGAGAGGGGTGGAGGGAGAGGTGTAGATAGGTAGAAGAGTAGATAGTAGAAGTAGAAGAGTAGATAGTAGAAGACGAAATGCTGCCACCATCCATTCATGATCATTACATACAAGACAAGGAATGGAACTTGTCTGTATCACAAAATTCTCAAAAGATGTTATCAAGAGGTCATTATTAGTATGTCCCATCTTTATCATGTACTCATTCTAAACCATGAAACCAGTAATCACAGAGGCTTTCTCACCTCAACTCAAAACTTTAGGGCACAAAGTAAAGACCATTTAAATAATAGATTCAATTATATTTCACATGATAACTATCATAATTTAAGCAACTCAAATGTTCAAGTTTAATATGCCAAGTGAGTCATCATCCAAGAATCTGAGAACACTACAACTGACTGCCCCTGATCATCACACAACACTTGTAAAACACGACCAAGTCACCTTAATGTTCAACTCGCCAAGTGTCTGCCTATAGTTGGGGGGAGGGGGGGAGTCTGCAGCTGTCAGGCAGCTTCACTCCCGTCCGACCGACAGCCTGTCTCGGCTGTTGTCCTCCTGCTCTACTGTCTGGTCTTCTGTCTTGTTAATGCTCAATGCTCTCGAATCGATAGCTCTCCGAGTATATATTGGGGACCCTAGTAACTAACTCCGCCCACAAGTAGATAGCCTCCGGCTCTCTACCAAGCCACTCCTTAAACGTCGGCATGTTTGAAGGCTACCAGGCTCCAATTATGAGATTAGCAGAAGTACGGTGAAATTCGCATGATCTGACCTCAGGTCACTTGGGGTCATTAACTCTTAAGAGGTGTGAAACTCCGGCCGACAACTTGGCGCCTTCCCAAATTCTTGTCTGTGACTCATTTACTATATATATTTTTTAAATAAACTAAACCAAACACTTTTACAGTGTTACACCATAACGAACCACTAAGTTGGTATGCTGAGTGGCAGTGGCAGTGGCAGCCCGCCACTGGCTGCCACTTCCTCCCTCTCTCACCTCACCTGACTTGCCACCATTCTCCACCCACTATACTGTTTTTGCTTTTATATACAGACGTTATATATAAGTATTTACATGTTTTGTTCACCATAACTGTACATCTAAGCTTGTATGGTGAGTAAAGGCACAAAGATGTAGGACCTCACACAGTCAGCTGATGGCTGCCGTCCTCAAGGCCAGACGCACTAATATTTCTCCTACAACAATACTGTTTGTGGTGTTATTATGCTATATACACACATTATATATAAATATCTACTTGTTTTATTCACCATACTTGTACAAGTAAACTGGTATGGTGCCCAAAGACCATCATGGTAACCAGTAAACATCATGATAAATCGTGCAGACGACGCCCCACCGTCCTCACCAAAATGGCGGCTCCCAACCTACTCCTCTTGCTGTTTATACCCTCTATACAGACGTTATATATAAGTACAGTATCTACATTTGTGTTCACCATAGCGAACCACTAAGCTGGTATGGTGAGTGCAGTCAATAAAAGGTGGCCACACACAGTCAGACATCGCCACCACCTTCCCTCCCACAGCATTACTCCTCCCTCCATGGCGCACAGCGCTAAATATCGCCACAATCCTGCTATTATCAGAACCCTGGTCAGTTTTATCACAGTCAGGGGTCTTCTGTAATAATATCATCGCTACATAATAGCATGAACAAGTATATTATGGCATTTTTAGGCGATGCTGTAGTCACAAGCTGAACAGTAGTGCTGTGAGCTCGTGCTGCATGCGTCAGGCTTGGTAGCTCACTCAATACTGAGGCCCCCTAACACCCGGGAGTTTGGCCCACGATTTTTAAAAAAAATGGCGTCTGTTTACAGGAGCCCTGATGAAGGTGTTGTGAACCCCGTGTATCCGCGGGCCATTTAAATCTTGCATAGTACTCCAAAGCATCACTTGATGTGATGCGCAATTTACTGCAAGTCGATCAAAGCATCATATGATGCGATGCACAATTGAAGGGTTAATCTTCTGTATAGAAGATAATAGATTCTCTGAATATAAGTAACATTAATGTTAATTTTCTTGTTGCAGATTTCTTCTAGCCAGCTTTTACACCAAGTATGAATTCGGTCATTTTGCCATCAACTTTGCCACCCTTCTACTGGTACTAATCCCAAAGTTGCCACAATTCCACATGGTTCGGTTGTTTGGTATCAACAAGTATTAAACTTGACCTAAGAGCAGTGGAATAGAAGCTGATATGCAGTCTTTTAAAGGTCAGAAAATGTACTAAAAGAAAGTATTAGTTATAGCTTGGAAATGAATAATGTTGCAGGTTCAGGTGTTGTTAACTATGAAACAATTGATTTGTTACAGGTGATGTAAAAAATGTACAAATGCTGATCAAGTTTTGGCAATTGAAATTAAGTTACCATATTCATTCAAAATAGGTAAGCCTTTTTGTAGATAAATGTGTGTAACTATTACCCATCAAACATTTTCTTGAAAATGTAAATTTTCCTTCGTTATTAGTTCTTGCAAATTCTGAAAAACTGCACTGTACTTCACAGGAACATTATTTTCTTGTGCAAATTTATTCTACTGGATCAAGATCTATTTTCTATAAAATAAAAATTTGGTCCAAAGTACTCTGTCCATTAGGTTATGCACACATTTCATTAAGCTACCCCATTATCTTTTAATAATTTTTTGTCATTGTAGCAATTTCTCAAATTCTGTTCGTACTAAATCAAAACTGTTTGGGTCCATTCACACAAAAATGGTTCTAATTTTCTCGTCTACACAATGGTTGTCCATACTGTGGACAACCATAGAATATGTAGATGAAATCCTTCATGTTGTGTGCTACTTTAACTAAGGCAATACCTGATAGTGTATAAATTTTGTTTTAAAAGATAATATAATGTCAAGCAATTTTCTCTGCATGTAATGGAATGTTATGCACTGCATAAGTGCTATGCTCTTTTTGCTGCATACTTAAGGTACATGTACTATGACAAATAGAACACGTCCAACTTGCCGTTAATTTTCCATCACTGACAAAATAGTGCAGTATTTGAACAGTGGTTGTCAGAAAGCTTTAGTTGCCTTGCAGCTTTGGTTGCAGCTTTAAAGCTACATTGCCAGACAATGTCATAACTAAAATTACTAATAAATTCAGTTAGTTGGGGCATTGTTTTAAGGCAGATTAGACAGTTTGTGTTTAATTTAAAAAAAATTAAATACCCACATTACAGAATAGATATCCAGGTAAAGTGAAAAAACAGGTCATTGTAATTATTATATTTAATTGGGTCTTGCATCCTGAGATGGTGTATGTTGATTTTTACCTGTTTCAGTCAAAGGCAGAGACCAGTCCTGCGAGGGGTTACGTCTATGTACACAGTAAGACTTTGCATAATTTAAAGTTGTATAGCATATAAAGCTTGTATTTAAGTAACAATATATCACCACAATTTTTGTGATTGTTTCTTCATTAGTCTCCCATATTGTGTAGGCTGCTGTAAACACCCAGTTCACATATATTCAATACTGCATTGTTCTAACCATATTTACCAATTTATTTTTTTCTTATGTCAGTGGGTTTTTTTTATCAAAGTACAATAAGTAACTTCAAAATCTCAACACTATTGCATTTCATGAAATTTTAAAAAAGACCTTTACAGTTAGTACTGTATATGTAAAGGTTATGAAGCACACAAATGTCTACTGATAGCTCCACCAGTATAAATTGAGTGAATATTGAATAGTAACAAAATGAAAATCACACATTTCACTTCGAATGTCTTCATTTGTAGCGTGTTTATAGATATAATTAGTATTGCCTTTTATGAAGTAGCTAATGACGTTTTTAAGTGACAACCTTGGTAGATGTGTTTGTGTACTGTATCGATAAAAATTGTGGTCGAGTGATTGTAATAATGGAAGAATGCCTTCAAGTGAAGTTGAATTTTTTTTTTTTATAAAATTTTACAGTACAACGTTAGAGATATCAACAAGAGTATGGTGGAATACCTATGGAAAGTTTTGCAAAAGAAGATAGAAAATTAAGCCAGACAAGGAAGGCTATAGAGATACGGCATTCTAAAATTGCGTCTGCTTAATGTTGTGTTAAACTCCTTGAAAGGAGTTTGAGGAATGGATAGATTTTTATTGATAAATGTTATATAGGTAATGAGATGTGATAGTAATATAAATAATTTGATGAAATTTAGATAATTAGTGCTGTCACTGATCTTAACAATGATAAAGTTCATGAGCTAGTGAGAAGTTTGTGATGGAGGTGTGAGCCAGTGACCAAAATGATGCTGGTAGTCGCACCAGATTGGTGTTTTAGTTGACTGCAACTTGTATGTTTGGAAAAGGGGAAAGTTTGATGAACAGCCAAGTGCTTTTATCTTAATTACAAGAGTGAATAGGATAGTTGAAATGCTTTGGTTTATGAATATATTGAGTTTAATAAGTAGGATATCTGTACTGGTATGAATGTGCTTTCTTTAACCTTTATTGCTACAATTGCTGCATCATATTTGATTCTTAGGTAGTGTTGATAAGAATGTTCACCACACATACTTTTTGTAATTATAATATTTGGGGTGTTTTATTCCATTTTCCTAAAACCTCTATTTTTTAAGTGCTTGGTATAGCTGCTTTGAAGTTACAGGTATAATTTAATTATTCACACTTTATTCAGCCTGCTATAGACTTTCTGGTGTTATTGTCTACACTTCGGCTATGGTGGTGGTTTCTCCTTTAGAATATTTGTTATTCATGGTAGTCAAAGTTCTGTAACATTAACATGTAAAAGTGTTGTGCTAATATATCCTTAAAAACAAAGTAATACCCTTTCTTGTAGCATAGTAAAATCAAAGCAGCCATCAAATTATTTTGGGAAAGGTTTTCAGTTGCTTTTGCTGGGTTTTATAGATGCAGTGTATGATATCTGTGATGACCTGGAATGATGAATAATGAATACTAAACATGTATGAAATATTTCAATGATACAAGAAATTAGTTACGAGCAGTGAATTTAGAAGTTTTTGAAAACATGCTTGAGGTATTTTCATTGTAGTTCATATTAATTGGTTTGAGGAGAAATTTTTTTCGGGCTATGTTGATTGTATAGAGATACAAACAAAGTGTCAGATCTTGGTAAATAGTTATACTGGATCTACAACTATCAGTAAATATTGGCTTCATAATTGTTATACCTCAGCCACTTTGACTGGATGGTAGAGCAACGGACTCATTTCATGCAAGTCGGCGTTCAATCCCCGACTGTCCAAGTGGTTGAGCATCATTACTTATCCCCATCCCATATCAAATCCTGATCCCTTCCAAGTGCTTTAAAGCCATAATGGCTACGGGCTTTTCCCTGATAAAAATTAAAATTTGTTTTAATCAATACTGATTCGGCTGATAAATTTTAATAATATTGGTTAAGGGGCAACTTGTTCAGAATTGTAAAGTTTTATTGCGTCTATAGAGGTAAATATTGAAATTAAATAGTTCCTTAGTGCAATATTTGCAGTGACCTTATTTAACATTTGTACTCTTATGCCACATAACATGTCATTTTCATGGAGTGCTAGACTTTTCTCCTAATTTTGCCCATTAACAGTGTGTATGGCATCACAGTACAGTTGCAATACTGGCATAATCCAAATTAAAGTGCTGGATCCAGGAAATAAGACTTGGCAAATTGGATATCTTTATCTTGGTAAATGTCTAAGCTTAAAATTCTTAGATCCTGCACTAAGCCAATTTTGTTAATAGGATATTATTTAACAACAGAGGAGGTATAAAGTATTTTTCAGAAAGTCTCATAATATATATATTTTTTTTTTTTTTTTTTTTTTTTTTTTTTTTTTTTAGGATTAAATGATTTGATGTTTGTGTTTACTGGGAATTAGGATCTGAAGATATTAGGGTACTAATATGATTAATATAATATAAGTAATATGATGATTAGTGCCATAGGTGTAAGAATGTTGATAATGAATGTAACTTTTGCTACATCAATATTATTCCATTTCTTCACTTTCATAGAAGATAACAACAGTATAGGAAACCTTAGATATTCAAAATGGTTCGTATTTTCCTCCATACTTTCCATACTAATCATCGTCACAAAGCTATTGCCATCCCAGTCCTACAAATGGTTCACTGTATCAATCTGCTCCTCTGGAGTAAATGATTTGAATTTGTGACGAGCATTTTTAGCATTGCAGGTTTTTAATGGACTGCATGTAATGCATTTTTTGTATTTTAGATATGTAGTCTGTAAGTGATGCAGGAACCTGTGCAGCAGAGTATTTTATTTTTTATTTTATATACTCTATGAAAATTGATATTTATTTGCTCTCTTAAATTTGGTTATACTGGTCCATAGTATGGCTTATAACTAAAAAATGGTAGTACAGTATTTCTTTTTGGTGCTTTCCAGTTTTGAGAATTTTATACTGCAATACATGGCATGTTGGTCATAGAATGGAAAGTCTCTTTTTAATTATGTCAACCATTTTGGTATTAATAATAATGGTCAGAAACTAGACATTCCCATTATTTAGGGAATCAAAACATTGCTTTATTGGTATTTCAATAGTTGCTGTAGTAACTAAGTATTTTATTACTTATTTAGAAGAACTTTCTTTAATTTTCATTTATAAATCATTGGTTATAATTGTGATCTGTAATAAATGACAATATATATTAGTTAATTAATATTGATATGGACCACACAGGTATCATAGCAAGCAGTAGATCATACACGGTGGTTCATGGCTGTGCAGTTGCTCGGGATGTTCTTTGTATCCTATTATGTGTAGTACTGTACATGATATTTTGCTTCTGATACAAACTAAAAAAAGTACTGTGTAGTTTAAATGTATGATTCTCGTTGTAAACTTCGGAACAAGAGTATTCTAAGTTTTTAATTGTACTTTGGATGTTGTTGGTATTAGTAGAATGGATGGAACACCCTATTATAATATCTTCCATGACTTATTGTATCCATTTAACAAATTCTAAACTTTTCCAAATTAAACTTTTAACATTGTAGCCTCTTAGTTTGCATGTATTTTAGAACCATTCTTGGTGTGGCCATGCTGGGTAAAGTGTAGCACCCTTTTTAGTAATTGCAGCCAGTAGTTCAGTGATACTATACAGGGAATGAACTGTGTGCCAATCTAACAAGTGTGTTGTCTTTGTAGTAGACTTACTTTTTCAGGGCTGTCATTCCATTATGTATAAATATAAGGCTGTAGAGTATAAGTTCATATAATGATCCTTTTAGTGGTTCTGTTACAAGGTATGTTTTGGTTATTAAGGTGTTTTAGCCAAGTGACCTAAACTTAATGTGTGATGATTATCAGATTGGTGGCTTATTGGTTTGTGTAATATATCTTTAGCATACTTTATCACTGCTGGCAGGATCATTGCTGCCATGTGTGATTTTTTCAAGGTTTTTCTTGCACTAGTCATATCTAATAAAGAAATATAATTTGTAGCAAATGATATTACATATACAGATTTCAAATTTCTTTTTGTTTATCCTTTTTTCAAAGGTTTCATTCTATTCCCACTGATTAGTCAACCCGTCCTCTTAAAAATAGCGTTGCTTTTCACTCGTATGTGCGCTATGGCCAAAAGTGGACATAATTTAAAATGAAATTGACTCACAAAAGTGACGTACTGTCCCATTTTCTGTGAGTCATCCGGCCTACTCGGACAGGTTAGGAGAGGAAACTTTTAATTAACGTTTTTTATAACGTTTTGAAACTTTATGAGAATTTCTGCCCACCTACCAGAGGACCCTTAATTTACTGTTGTTGAAAAAAAAAAAAATCCCAAATTTATTTTCATTTTTTTTTTCATTTTCAAATTACATCCACTTTCGGGCATACGGGCGAACGGCCAAAGGCGACGTTATTTTTAAGAGGATAGGTTGGATTAGTACAGTATTTAGATACAGTTCTGCATTCCAAGGTAATTAATGACAATGAATAAATATCGAGGGTACCTCTTCCTTTATAATTCTCATTACCTTATTTCCCACTCATGGCCTGGGGGGGGGGGCAGGGAAAGGGCAGCATCAACTCAAAAGATATAATAAAAAAGAGTAATGTAGTGAAAAATAGTTAGGCATTAAAATTCTTAAAAATAGATTAAATATCTATAGTCCACTTGTGCTTAATGTTAGTTTTCAATTGTTCTTACTCTTTCCAATGGCAAGTACCTAGTGCTTAAATAATGTGCAGGCAGATTGAGCAGTAGGCTCTTAATCTAGGCAAAATTCTAAACTTTGGGATAATTACTATCTTGCATGAATCATGTTTTAGCCTGTTATGGCGGCTTCTGAAGCCTGGTGGCTTTCCAATGACCGAATTTTCTTAAGTTTATGAATTAAAATTTATGACAAATTCGTAGAGGAAATGATAAACCAAAGATATATTTAATGTGGATGTACATATAATTACTGTAATCGAATGATATATAGGAACTTTTCAATATTGTTGTGCAGTCATTGTTATGTGTAGCCTTCTGAGCTTGGCACTTTGATAATTTCTTTACCATTGGAAATATAAACGTTTTAGTAATTGCAAAGGCACTAGAAAATGTAACAGATTTTGCATTCTTTTATCATTTTATACAAATATTGAACATGTAATATTAAAAATTTTATGTTCATGTACAAACTAATGATAATGTTGGATATGCTGATGCTGTCCCAATACAAACCGTCCTTCCTTGCAAAGATGGTGCTGTTTATTCAATAGCATATTCCTCTCAAAACGAGAGAAAATGAAGACTTAGAATTTAATAACATTTTTAAAAGGATAAACCACTCTCAGATTATTGTAGGCTCTTGTGAGGAAAAAAAAAGGACTTTATCAATTAACTCTGGTATGTCTTGTACTTCTACTTGTGCCATGCTTTGACTATGGACCCCTCAGGAGGACCCTGTTTCCTCACTACCTTCCTTTTCCTACAAGGATAACTCATTTGCATTATTCCCCTTGTGTTCCTAGCTTTCCTCCATGGAGGGTTTGTTCCTAGCTTTCCTCCATGGAGGGTTCTACTAGTGAAATTTTGCAAGGCCCTGACTCACATAGTGAAGGGTTATGCCCCTTCTACGGTAATGAAAACTTTTTCCTTTTAACATTTTCCCTCTCGCACTCCATTGCTCTGTTCATAAATGGGGGTCTAAGTGTGCCGACAGTATTGGTCATTACATTGTTTTCATGATAAAACCTTTATGTCCCACCAGCCCCTGGAGACTAGCATCTTTTGCTGGATTCCCAGCCTTATTGGAGTTACTTCAAAGAAGTCTGCAGACACTGCAATTATTGAGGCCATTAGTACTTGACCCATTTCAGAAAAAGGGACCCTTATTCAGTTATCTACCTGGTCATTCATTCAAGAATCTGTTATGGTGGCAGACCAATGTCTTTGCCATTAGTGTGTAACATTGTAACATAGCCTATTCCTGTGGCCATTCACTTACCTCTGTAACAGACAGGAATGGTTCTGGCTAGGTTGTATATTGGCCACACACACACTTAAATCATGGGTACCTAATGGAACATGGCCCCAGCTCCTTATTATCCTAATTTTATCTTCCAACTTAGAAATGCACCTCCTTGTGAATGTCCAGATTTTCGGTACCGTGTGACTTGCTTTCCTAATGTCTTTCCGGGTCTCTTGTCTCTTAATTACACTCCTTGGTGATCTGATATCTCTTTTTGGCATCCTGGGTGATATTTAATTCCTTTTGAATATGCTGCTACATAGTCTTCCCAGTTTGGTACAGTCTTTTGATAATTACTGCACATGTTATTTTCCCTGACAGGGTTTTTCTGTTGACATGCTTTTTTTTTTTGTCTGGAACTGTAAGTTTCTATGCTCCAAAATGGTTACGTATAATAAGAATAATTCCTTTTGTTGGAGAAAAGGCAGCAAATGTGTATATACATGTTAGCCTTATTTAGAGGTTCCGCTCCCCCACCCCCTAAGGTCGAACTACTGACCTTCCCCAGGATGCAACCCGACAACAAGCTGACTAACTCATCCCTAGGATGCAACCCGACAACAAGCTGACTAACTCATCCCTAGGATGCAACCCGACAACAAGCTGACTAACTCATCCCTAGGATGCAACCCGACAACAAGCTGACTAACTCATCCCTAGGATGCAACCCGACAACAAGCTGACTAACTCATCCCTAAGATGCAACCCGACAACAAGCTGACTAACTCATCCCTAGGATGCAACCCGACAACAAGCTGACTAACTCCTGGGTGCCTATTTACTGCTAGGTGAACATGTGAATTATGTAATAGGAAATGCGCCCAACCATTTCTGTCCCGCCCGAGATTCAAAACCCGAAATTCCATTTTGCGAGCCCACTGAATTAGTTGACTCTTGAAAGTGCTCTTGTGGCCCTAAAGTTTTTTGTTAATCCTTCTTATTCTATGATAACAATTCAATATTAGATGCATCTTATCTTCAGCATATTTAGGACCTTAAAATTTTGCTGGGTTCCCAGCCATGTTTGGTGTTGCCTCTAATGACTGGGAAAAATGTTCTAATTGGAGTACTGCAAGGTTCTATCTTAGGGCCAACCTCTCTTTTTGTAATATTCGTCTATATAAATGAGAAAATCACAAACCACGTCATTAAATTTGCAGTTGATAGAAATAATTGTGGTAAACTGAAAAGCAAAAAAAATAAGTCTTGCAAAATGAATTCCGCCTATGTTCAAAAGATTAACAAATGTTTTCAATTATTGATGGTGCCTTCTTTTAATAATTTACAATATTGAAAAAGGCAAGACTTGACATGCATGGAGCATAACATGCATATTATAACTACTGTATATAAAAAGCATAATTCTGCAGCAGACTGGAAAAGGCTCTAAAACTTATCATACGTTCTGATTAATATGACAATTCGCAACCGCTAGATGGTTAGCTACTACGCAAAACAAATTGTACCATTAAATGTGATCAGCTAGACTGTTCCCATGATCCTCGTGTCACTGAATTGAGGAGTTTGAAACTTCTCTGGCAAGGTTACGTATTGGCCATACAAGATTATCTCATGGCCACTTATTGGGACAGACCTGCACCCTACTGTCAGAACTTCAGTGTTCCACATACATCTAGTAGAATGTCTTGACTTTCAGGATGATCGGAAATGTTGGTTTCCAAATGTTGCCCGTTAAAATCATTGTACTATACAGCTGTATTCGCACGGCACTCTCTTTTGATAATTACTAGATCAAATTGCAGGAATATGCAAATGTTACTTCAGAGGACTGTGAGCTAGGTTCTGGACAATCATGAGATCCATCCATACTAAAAATAGTGCCTCAGGTAAATTAGGTAAAATGCTCACAATAGATGTACAGTCCATCATAGTCATGTTGCTCCAGTTCTGTGCACATATTCCTCGAGCCATAAGTGAAAGTTCGAAAGCATACAAATTGAGGCCATGACAGTTATAATAGTTGGATTCCAAATACTGCTGAAACATCGAATCTGCAACAAGTACCAAGTCTGTCTATTGTGACAATCAGAATCCAGAAGCCGAATTCTAAACTTGATATTAAGTGTCCTAGAGACATTATAATGACAGTGCTGACATAATTTAGTTCTACCAATTATTTGAGAAAATAGGAGCAGCACAATGGTGTAAAAACGAGTAGTGAGCAGTCTTGAGGACTAGCTTCTTGCACCTGCTTGAGCAAGTATATTTCTGTAGGGAATTTACTTCAGTGTGAAGAAGGTAAGGAAATTATCAGGAGAAAGTCCCAAGCCAGTATGGGTATATATAGCACATGGAAGGGACACGAGGACAACACATGGCCCATCGAGGAACCCAAGGTCATCCTTCTACCGACTAGTTCAAGTGGATACACTCCTTGAGAAGACGAACCATGCAAGATAAAAACAAACGAGATGACAACGAAACGGTCCAACATGTTTCCACAATATGTTTCGGGGAAATTGATAAAGAAATCGGAAATGAATAGGACCAAATCTTCGCTGATATCTTTAATTGTCAATACTCCTTGTGGCACAATTTTTTGTCTTTGGTCTGAGCTTTAATGAAAATTTTGATGTCGAATTGAGACGACTCCTTTGTGTGTGGAGCTGGGATTCCTAGTGTGTATCTGGAGCCGACTCCCTGTGTATGTCTGAAGCTGAGACTCCTGTGTGGGTGTTTGGAGCTAAGACTCCTATTGTTTGTCCGAAGCTGAGACTCCTAGTGTGTGTTGAGCTGAGACTCTTATTGTGTGTCTGGAGTTTGGAGTGTCTGGAGTCTGTGTGTCTATTCGGGACCCGGGAATATATTGGGTCGATGCAGACAACCCATCCTTTTGGTGCGCTAGTCCAAACTGCTGTTACTCCATCCTGAGACTGCTCTCGTCCAAGCTGCAGCAAACCCTAAAGGCGCAGTTATAATTTTTTCCGTACTTTTTTTTTTTTTTTTTTTTTTTTTTTTTTTTTTTTTTTTTTTTTTTTTTTTTTTGG